TATTGCACAGGTTCAAGTAGTATCTACTCAATCAGCTTTTTATTTGTTTTACAACACATCTTCATTACTTCCATTATGCACAATCTAACTAATATTTCCTTACAGGATTTCCTAAACAGGGATGACCCTAGAGGGTAGTGACAGGCAATACCCAACAAACATGTTTTGTTCAAACTGAAAAAATGCTGCTCCCTAGGAATTGAAGATAGGGGCCCTCAAGAGCAGATGCTGAAAACAATTCTACCAAATGTGATTAGGGAAAAAGAAGGAAAATATTTTCTACATTTACATTGGCAAAAGGGGCTTCTCCTTGTTACATAACAATAATATTATTATTCTAACATCCTGTATTGACGAGATTTTGTCAGCATAGTATTTGACCTTGTTTCTAAGAAATTAAAAAAAAAAATTAAAAAAATCAAATTCTTCTGCCACACATGACTACAGAAGCAGCAATGACCCATTTCTTGAACATTCCAAAACACATGCTATTACACTAAATTCCATTAACAGTGAACATCTGTGCTTTGCCAATGTGAACCACGTTTTTAGCTGTTAGCTTAAACTCAAATCTATGGGTTTTTTCTTATTTTTTGAGTAACTGGTGATAACCTAGTGATGATATATATTTTTAAAAAAGAAAACTTCTTAAACAATACCTATAACTTTGTATACTTCTTTCCATTACTCTCAAATTTACTTTTGTTGCAAGTCATATTTAAGGCAAATATCAAATCTAAATGTTTATTTGAAGCTGTATTAATCTTTCTTGTACCACTTCTCCCAGAGATGCAGATGGGAAAGAAAAGACCTGTGCGATGCAACCAAAATGCCGACATAAGTCAACAATGATGGAAAAAAAAATTAAAATGGCAAAAACAAGTGGATTGAATGAACAGGTGAAAAAATTCTCTGCTGGAAGTGAAATGCCTATCGCAAGGTAACATTAATGAAAGACATTCACTCCGACAAATGAAGACATCTAGATGTAATGAAAATGATTTTATGACCAGTACACACAACCAAATGTCTGACATAAGTCAACAATGATACAATTTAAACGATGGCAACAAGTGATTATGAACTTGGAATCGTTGAAAATGATGCAATAAAACATTCAATCAGAATGTTTGACGTACAAAAGTAATGGTAGAAAATTTCAAATGGTGAGGACAAGTGAATTCAGTGAAAATGATTAACATTACATGGAATTCAGCTGTCTGACTTAACAAGTTAATAACACTGATATTCATTCAAACAAAGACAACATGTGAGAGAAAACACTGATTCAATGAAACTACTCTAATTTGAAGGCACATGATAGCAAAATGTCAGATGAAGACTAATGATGACCAAGGCAGATGAATTCATGTAAACTTCAGTGTCAGTAAATAAAGTGGATTTTATGATGCAAATACAGTTGTTTGTGTTGATTTTCATTCCCTGTAATGGCCCAACCTCAGCATCCAAAATCTCATTACCAGTTTCTCGTACATTTTGCAGTTCCAGAAAATATCCATACTCCCCCTAAGAAGGGATTGAAATTCCCTAGGGTTGGGGGGCCCTGTCTATAGACCAAAACATTTAAAGAAATGTATGAGGCTTAATTGGAATTTCAGGAGGAGTGGCAGGGTGGGGTCTTGGAAAAAATCCCTTCCATGGGGGAGGCATGGATATTTTTGGGAACTACACATGTACACACTCAGTATAATTTGGCTCGGGGAAATTTTTTTGTGATGTGATCAGATCCTTATAATTTCCTTAACCTGCCTTACTTGACTGTTACTTAAGACATAGAGAGAAATTAGAAATTCATCAGTAGGGACTGACTGACCACCTTAACTCAAAGGATCAGTTCTCTTCACTGACTACCCAGTTCCTTTACTGCTATGGTATAGTTCTGAGAATTTGGTAATGCATCAACTGAAGACAATTCCCCATAGTTCAGAATTTTGTTAATTCTTGTCACCTGTTCGCTTGACAAAATGTTAACACTGCAAGGAGAAATAAGACATTGATAGCCCCTGGAAGGTTCATGGTTTATGTGAACATGGATTGTGCCATGCATGTGGACAGATGTAGCACAAAGGTTATCTCATGAAAACAACACTGAATTGTTGACCACAACCGAAGACAGTAAACACACACAATGGTGAATGAAAGAAATATTTAACTCCGAAATCATAGCAGCAATAACCCTTACAAATATAATTGATATTATTTTCACTCCTCAAAGAAACCACACAAGAGTCTGGAGTGTAGGCTTATTTCCCTGGAGTTATCATAATGATTGATATATTTTGTAACTTTCCTACCTGTTACAAAATTTTTATAGCATATTACTTTTCTTCTGTCATTACTGGACAACTCTATTTTACAACTGTAACAATCTATGACTGTGTGTAGGATATCCCCAATTACAAAAAATAATCATCTTATGTTACAACTATACCACTGCTAATAAAGCTACTAAGAAAATATATATCTAAAAAATTAACATTTTGTGCATTTCCTTTGCTGCCAGCACGAACTAATAATTTCATCTACTTTTATATCCATTTATATCCAATTTCCAAATTGTTAACTTCTGAAGAGCTCCTTCCTTCAAGTTAATAATGGCTTATTTCATGAAACAGAGGTTCCAATCACATTATTTTGGCAATCTAGCTAATATCCGACACAACACTAGGAAAATTCACTCATCATGTAAACAATATAAAGTGTCACAACTGGATTACACAATGGCATGAAACACTGCAGTACGTTTTCAAAGCCAATAATCAATTTGTCATCTTGCATGTGAATCTCAAGATGTCATTTGAGAGCATATATCACAAATCTTTTTGTCGAGTCATTACGACCACCAATGGAATGTATGTAGTCACATAGTTGTAGATCGCAGTATATTTCCGTCATTATTTTCAAACATCAAAGTTTTGAAGTGCAGTTTGCATGTCTGCCCCATCTAGACAGATACTCTTGAGGCCAGCGAATTCCCTATGTGACCTCGCAAATACTGTCCAACAGTCTCTTCAACAGTGTCCATGTGTACCGTCAACTTGTCGTGTT